GAGAGAGAGAGAGGGAGGGAGAGGGAGAGAGAGAGAGAGAGAGAGAGAGAGAGAGAGAGAGAGAGAGAGAATATCTCAGTAAGATCAGGCAAAAAGAAAAAGCTCATCTATCAGAGTCCAGTGTGGTTGCAGGGGTGAAACCCAGGTTTACCTTCCTGAGGACCTCTCTTCTAGACTAGGGGTGGGAAACCTATGGCTCTCTAGGTCCTCAGGTGTGGCTCTTTGACTGAATCCAAACTTCATAGAACAAATACCCTTAATAAAAGGATGATTTGGTCTGCAAAACTTGGATTCACTCAAAAGGCTGCATCCAAGGACATAGAAGGACACAGGTTCCCCACCCTTGTTCTACACTACTGTAGTGATCTTCTTGGTCTCTCCCCTCTCCAATTTATCATCGACACTACTGCCAAAATAACCCTCCTAAAGTACAAGTCTATCCATGTCATTTCTTTCATCAAGATCAGTGGCTTCCTATTGCTTGTAGGATAAAACAATATCAATTATTACATTTATTTACTTCCTAGTAGTGTGCCAGGTACTATATGAAGTTCTGGGTATAACATGTACAGAGTTTCACAAACTTTATAGTGCTGTATAAATGTTAGTTGCGATGATGATGATGATCCTGTCATTTAGAGCCCTCATGTTTTGGTTTCAGCATACTTTTCTTTTTTCCAGCCTGATTTTTCATGCTTAATTAAAATTTCTTCCCTTTGATTCAGTATTATCATCTCCCACTACCATCAGTCAACAAGTATTTATAAAGCAATTATGTACTACCTGCTAGGCTGTGAAGTGGGCTCAGCACTAGACCCTTCTGTAGAGTGATTCTGACAAGTCACTTACCTGCTGTCTGCCTCAGTTTTCTCATGTAAATGGAGTAGTGGTAATACCAGATTTATTGTGGGGATAATATTTGAAAAGCACTTTGTTAACCTTAAGCATTATATAAATGCTAGCTCCTATTATTATTACTACTATTATCATCATCATGTCATTTTTCTAAACCTTGAGGATACAAACAGAAAGTAAAACTTCATAGAGTTCATGTTCTAATAGAAAAGACAACATGTACATAAGTAAGTGTAAATAAGAGAGATACAGAATAGAAACAGAGTAACCTCAGAAGGGAAGGCATTAGCAGCCAGGGGATGTGGAAGCAGGAAAGGCCTTGTGGAATTTGAGCTGAGTCTTGAAGAAAGCCAAGATTCTCAAGGGCTGGTGAGGAGCAAGAGCATCCCAGGCGTGATAGATGGAGTGCCCAGTGTGAGAAACAGCCCAAGTAGGTCAGTCACTATTGGCAGAACTGGAGAGTTCAGGGAGAGATGGAGAAGGCTGAAAGATTGGAAGGGATATAGATCTTTAACTGTCAAATAGGAGTTTATATTTGATTGTGAAGGTAATAGGTAGCTAGCTAATGGAATTTATTGAGTTGGATGTGTAACGTGGTCACAACCAGTCTCTCTGGAAAACCATTTTGGAGTTGAAGATGACATCTATGTTGACAGTCTGGGTGATTTGGGAGAAGATGATGGTATCTGGGACAGTAATAGGAAAGTTAGGAAGAATTAGGATTAGATACATAAATTTGTAGTAATTTTAATTTGCCTGGTTATATGACTTTCCCCGGTTCTGTACTGTAATAGGTAAGTAGGAGCAGAGGAGGTAGATGGTGGGAGCATTGGGAGAACCAGGGTTGGTGTTTGTCAAATGAGCGATCAAATGCAGGACAAGGCAGTAAGAGAATTTAGAGAAGAGAATAGTCTAGAGTGAAACTATTTAACCAATGTTTCAAGATTGGGAAATTAGGAGAGTATAACCAAACTGACCTCGGGAAGTACTGAAGGGTGAAGGGTTGGAGGTCTTGGGGTGAATATGTAGAATAAGTTTCAGAGTAATGAGACTTAGGGAAGAATGGAAGGGTAAAAGAGTATTTTCAGATAAAGGAATTTCCAAGTTCTTGAAGGTCGGATTGGAACATTTTTGAGTGATGGTACAATGAATGCTTCCTTTTACTTCTGCCTCTTAGAGCCCTTTGCTCTTTAAGGTTTAAACATTAAGTCTTATCTGAAGCCCATTAAGGCTTAACCAAGGTGCCATCTCCTATGGGAAGATTTTCTTGACATACCCCACCCCCAGTTTTTAGTACATTTTTTCTCCTCATATTGTATTTATGTATATATTTGGTTTTCTAACCCTTAGCACTGTATATTGCAGGGTGTAAGGGGTTCATAGTAAACCTTTTTGTTTATTTATCTTTTTAAATGTTCTTAATGTTTTAAAATGTTTCCTAAAAGAATATAAGCTCCTTGAAGGGAGGGGTTGGCTCCGCCTCCATTCTGTTTCTCTGGAGTGTGTTACAGAGCTTTACACATATCAGCCACTTAATAAATATTTATTGAGTAGAATTAAATTGATCTAAGTGTAGGCTTAAAGAACTCAGTGATAAGGAACTCTACCTTGTGAGGCACATTAAATAATAATTCATAGTAATTCACTATGAGAAGTTAAAGTAAATTTTATGTAGCTCCCTAAAACATAATACATTTAGATTCATTGGTTATTAGTTTCTAAAGTTATTGGTGAAGATTATTCCCCTGTATAGCTGCATTTCAAAGCCACTATTCATAATCATATTCATTGTCTTTAATGTGAGAGGAAAAAATAATTTTTTCCTGGTTTCTGCTTATTAGAGTGCCCTGAAGCTTTCGTAACACTAACTGAAGTGGTGTATGTTTTTCCTAATCATTCATTTTTCTTAAGTAAGTATATAGAATAGTAATCTGAGAATATCACATTTGAATGGAACCTTAGAGAACATTGGAGAGTAGTATTATGAATAGTCTGAAGTCAGAAGCTCTAGTTTGACTCTCACTTCTAGGACTTAGTAGTCATGTGACCATAGACAAGTTCCTTAATATCTCTGACTCCCTGTGTAAAATGAATATAATGATAAATATTTGTTCTGCCTACCTCACAGTGTTGAAAGAAAACCTATTATTATTATTATTATTATTATTATTATTATTATTATCATTATTAAATACAAGTCCCTTGCTTAATAGATCTGGAAACCCAGGCCCAGAGGGGATAAGTGACTTGCCTAAGATCACATGTGGCCCTAATTCAGGAACAGGGACTAGTACCCAAGTACTAGTAGTATTTTCTGCCAGACTGTACTTTTGTACTTCATTGTAGCCTCTATCATCCTGCAAAATTCTATTAACTCAAACTTGTGGTTCATTATAGTCCCCTCTGCTCCTGGAGCTTTCTGTTGGAGAAGGTAGAGGGTAGATGTGGGAGAGCTTCTCCTAGATCCTCTATTTTAAGGAGGGAGTCCAGGGCAGGCATCTCATCATTTCAAAGATGGTCACTCTTTTTGGATGAAATCATGCTGCTCCTTTCCTCCTCCTTCAGTTTCCTTTTATATTGTGAGCTCATTGAGGGCCAGTATTGTCTCTTATTTGCTGCCGCCCTTCCCCCCCTTTTGTATCCCCAGCAATTAGCACTGTGCTTTGCACACTGTAGGTATTTACTGACTATTGACCAGACTTCTAGTCTATTTCTAGCCAGTAGAATTTCATTGTCTACTAATATGTTTATAATAGATATAAGCAAAGAATTGTTCAGCTTTATGTGTAAGATCAGCAAATGACAGATTGTGATTAGGATTTAAAATTACCAACTATCTTTGCATTAAATTTTTTTTTTCTTTTACTTTAGGTTCAACGACAGGCCGAAGTTATCTTTTCACTTAGATTTCATCTATGGCCAACTGATGTAGCCAAGAGTTACTGTACACAGAAGTCAGGTAACTGCTTGAAATCAGCCTGGTAGTAGTACCTTGATTTTTAGTATGACTGTAATTTTACCATCTGTTATTGTCCTGAAAAACAGGAGATTTAGTATCACAGAAGGGCATTAGTCACACTTAGTGATTTGATTGTGTTATTTTTATTGTATGTTAAGTAATAAATTTTCTTGTGCATAATATCTATTGTTCTACTTTGTGAGAATTAATAATTTGTTGTTATAGTTCAGGTTGGCCTGATAGTAGTGGAAAGATCATTAACTTAACCATCAAAACATTTAGGTTTTAGTCACGCTCTATATTATATTAGTATATTATATATATCCAAGAAATGGAAAAAAAATCCAAAAAGAAAAGGTGGTTAACAGTGTCATATAAAAGTGGAATGGGCTGCCTTAGGACATAGAGAGGTCATCCCAACCCCCCCTTATTTTTGTGGTCTTTAAGAAAAAGTTTAGATAACCACTGTGTTATAGAGGACATTCCTGTTCAGATTGGATTTGGATTAGGGATTCTTAATCTGGGATCTTTGAACTTTGAAAAAAAAATGGTAATTATTTCAATATAATGGGTTTCTTTTGTAATCCTTTGTATTTTTTTATGCATTTAAAAACATTATTCTATGAAGTGGTCCATGTTACAAAAAAGATTAAGAATTCCTATTTGTATGATGTTTGATGTCACTTCCAACTCAGTGAGTCTGTTATTTACTAGTCATATGTTTTGTGGATATTTTTAACATTTTCTTGTCTTCAAAAAATTTTTTTATTATGAATTTGACAAACATCAACAATTATGCCCATTTCTATGAACAAAAAAGAATAGGAAAAGGTTGTATATGCCTTGAATTTCTTTTTGCTATTTTAAGAAGTTTCATTGATGCTCTTTTCTTTTTAAAAAATATTATTCTTATAACTCCTCTATTTCTCCCTGGATAAATCTCCTTTATGGAAAAAAAAATAAATGAAAGCTCTCTCTTGCGAAAAATAAGTACAGTCAAGCAAAACCAATCTACACATTAACTGTGTCTGAAAATGTATGCTTCATTCTAAATATTTGGTGTCACTTCTCTGCCCAGAAATGAGGAACATGAATTATTGTTTTGTCTTTTGGAGTTATGGTTGGTCATTGCATTGCTTATAGTTCTGAAGTCTTTCACTGTTATGCTGTTCTTTACAATGCTATAATCATTGTATAAATTGGTTCTGTTTACTTCACAACAGAAACTTTCCAAGGTTTCTATAAATTCATCCCCGTCCCTTTTATCATTTCTTATGGGATTATAATATTTCATTATATTCAGCTAAGTGGTGCAGTGGAAAGAGCGCTGGACTGCGAAGCAGGAAGACCTGAGTTCAAATGTGATCTCACACACTTAACTAGCTGGACAAGTTACTTAACCTCTATTTGCCCCAGTTTCCTCAGCCAGAGAATAGGGAATAATAATAGCACTTACCTTTCAGGGTTGTTGTGAAGATAAAATGAGATAATACTTACAAGTGCCTTGCAAACTGAAAAGTGCCATATAAGTGCAGTTATTGTTGTTGTTTTTCTTATATGTCATAGTTTCCTTTTCTGTGCCTCAATTCATGGAATCACCTTTTTGTTTCCATTTCTTTGCTAATATGATAAAGTGTTGCTATGCCTATTTTTGTACTTACAGGTGCTTTCCCTCTTTCTTGGATCTTGTTGGGATATATGTCTGATATTGCTCTGTCCAAGGTTATAAGCAGTTTAGTGACTTTTGAACTATAATCCCAAATTTCTTTCCAGAATAGTTAGACCAGTTCAAAGTTCTGCCAATAATGTACCTGTCCTCCTACTTTCTTACCGATTATCATTCTTTTTTTATCATCTTGCCTTTCTCTAGGTATGAGTTAGAGCCTCTAAGTTGTTTTAGTGTTTTATTTCTCTTGGAATTTGGAGCACTTTTTCATATGATTGCTGAAAACTTACCTTTCTCTTGAGAACTTCATCTACTTTGACTGTTTTATCTATTGAGAAATAATGCTTGTTCTTATTTACTTGAATGAATCTTCTATGTACCTTGGATACCAGAATCTTATCAGAAATTTGCTGCAAAGGTTTTTTTTTCTTTGAAGAGAAATGTAAACTATTTCACTTGAAATTTTCACTGCATTTATTTTGTTTGTGCAAAAACCATTCAGTTTTTTGTCATCAAAATTCTATTTTATTTTCTGTCATCTCTCAATTGTTTGTTCAAGAATTCTTCCTTTTCCTTCTTTATTCCTCTGGTTTTTAAATTAAATTTTACTTTTATTAATCAACAAATAAATCCACTTTTTCTCTCTTCTACCCACCCCCTACCCTCCATTGAGAAAGAAACAAAAAACAAAACTGTTACAGACATGCGTAGTCAAGCAAAATAAATTTCCAAATTGGCTATGTCCAAAAAAAGGTCTCAGTATGCACTCTTGAGTCTGTCACCTCTTTCTCATAAGGTGTGTAGCATGTTTGATCATTAGCTTTCTGAAATCCTGTTTGCTTATTGTGTTGATCAGAGATGCAACTGTCTTTCAAAATTATTTGTCTTTACAATACTGTTGTCACTGTGTAAGCAGTTCTGGTTCTATTTTACTCTGCTCCTACCTCACTAATTCATCCCCAGGTGTCTCTGATCCCTTTCATCATTTCTTTTAGTGCTGTAGTAGTCCATCACATTTATATATCATATCTTGTTCAGCCATTCCCCCATTGTGCTCAGTTTCCAATTCTTTGCCACTAAAAAACGAACTGCTATAAATGTTTTTTTACATCACTAGAGTTTATTTTGCTTAAGACTAGTCCTTTCCTATTTTTTTTTTCCATAAAGGAGATTTATTCAGGGGGAAATATAGGAGTTATGGGAATAGTATTTTTTAAAAAGAAAAGAGCATCAATGAAACTTTAAAATAGCAAAAAGAAATTCATGGCATATACAACCTTTTTCTATTCTTCTTTGTCCATAGAAATGGGCATAATTGTTGATGTTTGTCAAATTCATAATATACCCTCTATCTTACTGCCTTTTCTTTCCTTTTTCTCCTGTTTCCTTGTTGAAGGAAATATATTTCTGTACCCAAGCAGGGTGTGTGTGTCTGTGTATCTGTGTATGTGTCTCTGTCTCTTGTGTCTCTGTGTCTGTCTGTGTCTGTGTATTCAGTTCAGATGACGGTGAAATTCAAATGTCATCTGCCCAACGAGGCAAGCCAGATGGCTCAGTGTATAGAGCTTTGGGCCTGGAGTCAGGAAGACCTGAGTTCAAATCTAGTCCTAGACATTTACTAGCTGTGTAACCCTGGGCAAGTCACTTAACTTTTGTTTGTCTTAATCCACTAGAGAAGGAAATGGCAAACTACTGTAGTTTCTTTGCCAAGAAAACCCCATGGACAATATTGGTGTGCTATGGTACACAAGGTCATGAAGAGTCAGACCTAACTAAACGACCAAATGACAAAATTCCCCCCAACCCTTCCTACTTGTCTGTATAGGCTTCTGCTTGTATATTGTATGAATGTATGACATATTGTATGAGATTATTTCTGCCCATTCTTTCTCTCCTGCTGAGCTCTCCCTCACCTTCCCACTGCAAGAGTATTATTTTTCCCTTTTCTTTCTATTCTTCTTTCAAATCATCTCAGAGTCTCTCTCACTCTCTGTGACCCTTGATGATGATTAAATTTAAACTGCTAAATCATGTGTGATCCTGACTGTGGCTCCTTGGTTCTTGAATTTTTTCTTTCTGACTGCTTGCATTATACTATTTTCTTTGACCTGGAAGTTCAGGATTTTTGCTTATACTATTTCTGGGAGTTTTCATTTTGGAGTTTTGGGAAATAACTAGATTTTTTCTCTTTCTACTTTACCTTCTGGTTCCGAGAGATCTGGACAGTTTTCATTTGTCTTTCTTAAAACATGATGTCTATGGCTTTCAGGTAACTAGTGATTCTTAAAATTTTTTCTGCTTGATTTTTATTCAGGTCAGTTTTTGTTATGAGATACTTTATATTTTCTTCTGTTTGTTTTTTTTCCCCAATCTTTTAATTTTGTTTTAATATTTCTTGTTGTCTCATGGAGCCATTAGTGTTTCTGTTTTAATTTTTAGTGATTTTTTTTTCCTCGGGTAAGGTTTTGTACCTTTTGTGCTAAGCCATGTTGATATTATTGTATTTAATTTTGATAGTTCCAGCAAGCACATTTTGTTAGCATGAATAGATTAAAATAGACATACTGGTTTACACACCCAGAAAGACATTTTTGAAAATTTAAGTGTAAGAATGAAAGAACATTTCAATGAATGATGCTTGCCATACTTTATATATTGGCTACTCACAACATCATTCAACTTCCTTTACTCTTCAGGACGTGCCTCTTCAACTTTGGCCTACCCCATTTTGATAGTCTGAAATCCCCTGAGATCTTCTCATCCATTTCTACTAAATTCACGATGAAAATCAGTTTATTGTTTCGCTTATCATTTATTGATACTGTGACTTGATTCTTCTTCCAGTGATACCCTAGTTTCTTGAAAGTTTGCTTTAGACAATGGTGAGAATTGTCGGCATCCAACTGGGTAAAGAGGCATGTCATGCTCTTGAGTAAATGCTGCTGAGGCTTCTGTGAAGAGCCTGGGGTGCCAAGTAACTGTTATGCAGCACGTGATTGGGACACCCAGCTTGGAAGAAACTGATCCCGCTAGTGGCTCATAAAGAAAGACCAATCTGTGAATCTAGCAGGGCCCGGCAATATCAATCAATCGCTATTTTTTTTTCTTCTTCTAAGCAATGGGGTTAAGTGACTTGCCCCAGGTCACACATCAAGTCTTACGTGTCTGAAGCCAGATTTGACTCGGGTCCTCCTGACTCCAGGGCTGGTGTTCTGTCCACTGTGCCACCCAGCTGCCCCTTCAGTCACTATTTGTTAAGAGCTTACTTTGTTCCAGGCACTGTGCTAAGCACTGGAGATATAAAAAGAGGCAAAGATAGTCCCTGCTTTCAGGG